GTATGTTCTCTCTCTCTCTCTCTCTCTCTCTCTCTCTCTCTCTCTCTCTCTCTCTCTCTCTCTCTCTCTCTCTCTCCATTATAGCCTATTTCCTTCTAATAGTGCCCAGGCAAAAATAATGTTTCAGTCAAACTGCTAGCAGATTCATAGCTCAATACATTCCTTCTGAATGGAGTTAATGTAATTGAGTTTAAAAAAAAATTGCAAAACTGTGAATCCTTCATGAGAATAAGCAGCATTTCCAAGGGGAGAAAGGCCTTGCCCACTCCAGTATAAAACCTGGATCATCAGGGGATGCCAGCCAACCCCATTCCCTCCTCAGTATAGAACCTGGATCAGGGAAAGCCACTTCCCCATCACCTCCTCAGTATAAGACCTGGATCAGGGAAGCCACTCCTCATCATCTCCTCAGTATAAGACCTGGATCAGGGAAGCCACTCCTCATCACCTCCTCAGTATAAGACCTGGATCAGGGAAGCCCCTCCCCCAGCATCTCCTCCCAGCATCTTCTTTGTGTGTATGCAGAACTACCCCCAAGCAAAGGTTAGAGGCACTCAAGGTCACCTCCCATCACCTTGTCACACATGTGTCCAGCATTTTCCCTATGCAGACTATGAAAGTTCCCCTGAAGATTAAGGATGAATTAAAGAAAGCCCCAGGAGTCTCCTGGTAGGAACCCTGGCCCTGTAAAGAGAGCTTGTAGTCAAGACAAAGCCATTGCATCCGGTAAATCCAGAACCCAGGACTCTGAGGTAGGATGGAGCCTCCTGGCTAGGTCTCATGGGAAAAGCTTGTGACTTGGGTAGGGCCATGTAGGTGTGAAGAAGAGTGATGATCGGAGCGGAAGAGACAGCATGAATGGGGTCTAGAGAGGTGTGCTCTAGTATGAGAGCTTCCGGACATGGGCAGCTATTGAGCACTTAAATGTGGCCTGTCCAAATTGGGGTGCACCTACTTCAGGTTTATGACTTCAAATATTTAGCATGATAAAAAAAATAATACAATTAGTATTTCTCATAGCAACTCCCTAGTGGGATAATAAGTTAAATAGACAATAAAAATTAAATTCATCTGCTATGTGTGTGTAAGTGCATGTTTGTCTCCGTGTGTGTGTGTGTGTGTGTGTGTGTGTGTGTGCAGGTCCATGTGTATGTGCATGTGGAAGCCAGGCCTTAGGTGTTGTTCAGGCTCACCTCTGTCACCTCTGCTTTCTTGCGCAAGCTCTTACAGAGGCCTGACATGTCTCACAGTCATGTGGCTTCTCTGAGCTCTGGGTCAGTTAGACTGTTCCTGAAGTGACCAGGCAGGGCCTTCAAGGCCACTGCAGATTTCTACCCACAGGCTCTTGGGAAATATTTTCTGAATTAATGTTTGTATGTCTTCGAGCGGATGTAAGCCTACCGTCTGTGCAGCGATCTGTACTTACAAATAATTACAGTTGTCGTAAATCATCAGGATCAGGTTTGAAGGCATTTGTGGATCTGATGGCCCCATTATTATAGCTTTCCAGAGTAATGGAATGATGGAGAGGGGAGTGGGGTTAATGTGCAGGTGGCTCCCGACTGTTAACGTTCTATTAATAAATGACTCTTCTGCGCTAATGTCTCATGAAAGCTTAAAGCATCCAGTTAGAGCTTACAGGCCTTTGCATATGCAGATCGAGTTTCCAGAAGCCTTGGGGATAATCAGGTTGTTTTCCCAAGCAATCTTCTGTGACTCATATTGTATTTTATGCATACTGTGGGTGTGTGTCTGTGTGTGTCTGTCTCTGTATGTGTGTCTGTGTATGTCTGTGTGTGTGTTTGTGTGTGTGTCAATCTGTGCGTGTGTCTATGTGTGTGTGGCTGTGTGTGTGTGGCTGTGTGTGTGTGTGTGGCTGTGTGTGTATGTGGCTGTATCTGTGTGTGTGTCTGTCTGTATGTGTGTGTGTCTGTATGTCTGTGAGTGTGTGTCTGTATGTGTGTTTGTCTATGTGTATGGCTGTGTGTGTGTCTGTGTATGTGTGTCTATGTGTGTGTGGCTGTGTGTGTGCCTGTGTGTGTCTGTGTGTATGTCTGTGTATGTTTGTGTGTGTGTGTTTCTGCATATGTGTGGCTGTATCTGTGTGTGACTGTATCTGTATGTATGTCTGCCTGTATGTGTGTCTGTGTGTCTGTGTGTGTGTGTGTCTGCATGTATGTGTATGTGTTTGTGTGTGTCTGTATGTGTGTATGTGTATGTGTGTGT